AGCTACAGTGTGTGAAATATCACACTATGTACTATTGCATGGTAATTTATAACATAAGAAGATAACAGACTTGGAGTTCTACATCAGGAGTCCCCAGCATTTTTGAAAGTGATTCACCAGGTGTGGGGGACTGATTCAAATCAGGACTGTAGCACAATTGGGCAGGGGGCAGTTAAACCATTTTTCCCAATGCCCTGAGGAATCTTTTTTGCAGCTATTGAAAGTTGTAAGAGGCCTAGTTTTCTAGACAATTGGCAAAATTATATTTCATAAAATAATATCAGTTCATGTGGTACAATGGCTAGCTCATGGGGTTTGGAGGATGTGGGAATGTGATGCTGAAATCCTCAGTTACAGAGCTCCCTGGGTGGCCCAGGCTATCTCTCAACCTAATCTACCTCACACATTGGTGGTGAAGGAATCAGTGAGTGGAGCCCTTCAGCCTTTGCTCAGTTGAAAATGGGCTGATTGAAACTGTAGTCTAGTTTGTGGAGAACCGAACAACTCTACTGTCATAAGGTGCCCAAATTTGGTTGTCACAGACTGCTGCTGAGTGGGGCTTCCTGTGTAAATGAGTGGCCATTCACATGAACAGCTTAGAGGGAACAGTGGTAGAGACAAGTTTGAACCCCAGATGTAAGAAGTACAAGGTTGACAAGGTTTCCTCTGAGAGTATACAGAGTGCCTTTTCTCATTTGAAATGGGAAGGGAAGAGTCCATCGCAGGATGTGAGAATGGCCACTTTACACTTTTACCAGGCTCAAGTGGTGATGTGTGTCCTGGACTGCGGTACTTCAGGTTGCAGGCAAGACCTTGGGTTTGTTTGAACAATAAGGTAACATCTACATTCATGCAGAGAACTGGCATGGCTGAATCTATAATCTGGGCCTAAAGCAATTAAAAAGATGGGGACATCTCTTAAATTGGATGGGAAGTGGGAGAGAAAGAAAAGTAGGAAGGATTGAACCATGAGTGGCATGGCTGCCTCTGAGCATGTGCAAAGTGCCTTCCTCCTTCAGACTTCTGAATCCTGATTGACATGGGATGTTGGTCTTAAAGGTGCCACTAGAGTCAAACTTTGTTCTACACCCTGATCCGTTTAACTGGAGGTGCCAGACACTGAACCAAGGCAAAAGCTCAACCACTCCGCCATGATCCCCTTCTCCAACTGGTGCCTTTTTGCTGATCATTCTCTCTCCTCACCTGCCCTACCTCATGGGGCTGTTGTGAGCATACCAACATCCTGAGGAGGGAGGGTGGGACAAAATGAGCAGATGAGAGGAAAGTCTCTGAGCCTGCACAGGGCACAGCAGCAGCAGCAGAAGAAGAAAAAGAAAAGTAGGCGTTTGAGGGAGGCGGTGGGAGTCTCTCTCTGACCATCTCTTCCCCCTCACAAGAAAAGGGATGGGGGGTGGAGGCGACCTCTTTTGCTCTGAGACTTAGCAGGGACACCTCTGAGCGGGCCTGGAAAGGCGGGGAGGGGGGGGTTGCACAGGCCTCTCCAGGGCCCTGCGCCTAGTGCGGGCCTGGAAAGATGGGGGGCGGGTTGCGCAGACCTCTCCAGGGCCCTGTGCCTAGCGCAGGCCTGGAAAGATGGGGGGTTTTTTTGCGCAGGCCTCTCCAGGGCCTGGAAAAGCAGGGAGGGCAACTTCAACTTACCTTCCTTCTTCCTTCTCTGAGGCCAGACTGAGGGGAGGGCTGCTGGGAGCAGGGGGTGGGGCTTGCTACATGTCCCTACCCCCTGGCTTCCTCACTGTCGGAGCATTGCTCCGGTGAGCTCCGGGAGGAAATGAGGCCTGGTGCTGAGCAAACTGAGAAAGAAATCAGACAAGCAGCTAACCACAGTTCACCTGTATGTCTGGAAACTTAAAACAAGGTCTGGTGCCATATATGAATGTAGCCATTTCAATAGATCATTTACCAGACATGTCCCAAATCACAGGAATATTTCAGCGCTTTATGCAAAACATGTAAATATCACGATGAATTTTATAGGAATATGTTATGGATATTCCCTTTTATGGACATTCCCTATCTACCTACTAATAGCCAAGAGTCCCCTCTGTGTGCAGATATTTATTTCTGCCAACAGAAGGCTCACTCTCCTCCAACATTATCAGAAAATAGCTTTCTTTCTTTTTTACCTGCATGGGAGAGGAAGGTTTTTCTACAGACTCAGGGGACTCTGTGGGTCTGCAAAACAATCCAAAAAGTTTTTTTTAAAAAACCTCAGGGAGGGTTGAATCCCTCCGTAATACCTTTTGAAATGGCTCTCTACTCCAGGCCCCACATTGACAGTGAGAGATTAGAACATTGGGGGGGGGGGCTTCTGGTTCTGTCAATAAAAGGCAAGGAAAATGGGAAGGGCCCTTTTCAGGCATATTTTGGCCCTTCAGGGAGGGATCCTTAGGACCAGGCCTGATAAGGGTTACCAGTGCCAAACTGGGAAATTCCTAGAGATTTTGTGGTGGACTCTAAGGAGGTCTGGATTTGGGGAAGGGAGAGGCCTCAGCTGGATATAATGCCACAGAGTCCAGCCTCCAAAGCAGCCATTTTCTCCAGGGAGACAGATCTTTGCTGTCTAGAATTCAGTTGTAATTCTGAGGAATCTACGGGTTCCACTTGGTGGTTGGCAAACCTAGGCTTGGCAGCAACTTGATGCCATCTCACTTTCATGACCCAAGTAGGCCTAGCTGCTTGCTACTGTTCATCAGCAGCCAACCTATGAAAGCCAGTGTGATGTAACAGAGCTTCAGACCAAGGTCTGTGAGACCGAAGTTCAGATCTCCATCTTGCAGTGAAAGCTGACTGGGTGGTCACACACTTTCAGTCTAACCAACCTCTCAGGGTTGTTGTGCAGATAAAAAGGGGGAAAGAATAATGTAAGCTGCTTTGGTCCTCACTGTGGAAAAAGACTATAATTTTCCTAGGTAGAGTCTGTGGGGGAGGGGGGTGGAAATGGAAAGCACAAGACAGAGAGGCATATAAAGGTAGGTTGGCAGTTGGGTAGGAAGGAAATAGGGTTGCCAACTCCAGGTTGGGAAATTACTGGACACTGGAGGGATAGAACCTGGGGAAGGTGGGGTTTGAGGAGGGGAGGAACTTAAGACTGGTATAATGCCATGGACCCCCCCCTCCAAACCAGCCATCTCCTCCACGAATACTACTATTGTCAGCCTCCAGATGAGGACTGGAGATCACCCAGAATTACAACTGTTGGCCAGGTGACAGAGATCAGTTACTCTGGATAAAATGGCTGTTTTGGAGGGTTGAGTCTATGGCATCATACCCTGCTTGCCTCCTCAGGCCTCACTGTCCCAAAGCTCCACCCCCAAATCTCCAGGAATTTCCCAACCCAGAGCTGGCAGCTCTAAGGTGAATTGATCTCTGTAGCTGGGAGATCCATTGTGATTCCCAGAGGGCTGCCACTGCTGCTGGGAGGGGAGAGGAAGCAGGTGGGTGGCTGGGAGCACCGCCACCACTGCTGTTGTTATGCAGAGTGGGGGATGAAGCAGGCAGGGGGCTGGGACAGTGATGGGGGCATAAAGAGAGAGTGATGGGATGGGGGCAGAGCGAGACATAGAGTGATGAGGTGGGGAGGCAGAAAAACAGAATGATGGAGGGCAGAAAAAGAGAGGAAGTAACATGCATGGAGAAGAGATAAGATAGTAAGAAAGGGGGGGCAGAAGGGAGAAAGAGTGTGAGAGAGGCAGGGGGAGAGGGGAGGAAGCAAAGGTGTGAGGAATGGGATAACTATCCTGCAAGTTTCTTGTGGGTCTCCACTTGCACCAACATAATTAGCTTTCTGAAATAACACATAAGGGTTCGATTTCTAGCTTCCTAATAGCAATTTAAATATAACTATTTTCTGTGTGCTAACTGGCAAGGATGCTGAATGTGGAAGGAAGAATAGAATTTTTACAGACTTTTCTTATGTTTAACGTTATTAGATCCTTCATCTTTCAAATGATGTCACACTTTAACTAACCTAGCAATTCCTTCAAATAATGCCCCTCTTTAAAATATGTGGCCCAGAAACAAATTTGTAAAATATTAATGAAAGCTGATATTCTCAAAGTTTATCAGGAAACTATGTCACAAGGTGAGAAAGCCTAAAATCAGGGGAGTCTAAATATAATCATGAGAGTGTTCTTCTGTAGCTATATAAGAGTTCTGTAATGCAAAACAATGAAATACCAGAGTAGATATTTTTGTTTTCTACATCTGATTTAATAGAAGTAGCTTTCTTATACAAGGACAGGAACTCAGATGCCTTTCATGATCTGCTCCCTACAATGACAGAACAATTTGAGCTTCAAACAGAGGTAAGGAACATACTTAGGTTGATGACGTAAATTTTAAGAGAATATGCTAGTTTCTAACAGGAAACCAGATCTAATTATTTCTTCCATAAATCACAAGTCAATTCCAGTATAACAGTGTTCAATGAAAATAAACAAGAAATGTTATCTTGAAACAAAGACTGGCAGATACGTCAGAACCCGTGGGCACTCAATGAAATTGCTGAGCAGTCGAGTTAGAACAGATAAAAGGAAGTACTTCTTCACCCAAAGAGTGATTAACACATGGAATTCACTGCCACAGGAGATGGTGGCAGCTACGAGCATGGACGGCTTCAAGAGGGAATTAGATAAACATATGAAGCAGAGATCCGTCAGTGGCTATTAGCCACAAGGTATAGATAGGAACTCTCAGTCTGGGGCAAGTGATGCTCTGTATTCTTGGTGCTGGAGGGGGGGCAACAGTGGGAGGGCTTCTAGTGTCCTGGCCCCACTGCTGGACCTCCTGATGGCACCTGGTATTTTTGGCCACGATGTGACAGAGTGTTGGACTGGATGGGCCATTGGCCTGATCCAACATTGGCTTCTATTATGTTCTTATGTTTAGGTGTATTTGGGATAAAGAAAATTAGACAGAACTATGGATAATAATCAGTACCACACAAGTAAATACTTTACAAATCTGAATTATTCTCTTACCTCAATAGCTCTTTTAATATATGGAATCTGCGTACCACTGTTCAGATCTTCATTTATAATAAGCCTCCTTGCCCACTGTCCAGCTCTGACAACACCACTACCATGAATTAAAACCATCAGTTTGTCAGGATTTGTCATTGCATCTTCACTCATAAAGATAAAACTTCTGGGTTCACTTTCCATTGCATCTACCTACAATTAAGACAAACAGAATATTTACAAAAAGGAGCAAAATTACATTAATAACTTAAATCAATACATCTGTTCAATGGAGGGGATTGAAATAGATTTTTCTATAACAGTTTATTTACTGTTGTAACCTGCCCTAAGCCCTTCTGTGCTGGGAAGGTTGGACTAGAAATGTAGTTAAATAAATAAATATTCAGAGAATGTGGCAGTTCCTAAATAACGAGGTCTCAGATTTGTAAAACAGAAAGCATCCAACAGAATTTTACCATATTTGTTGTATTATAATGACCTCACAATTTATTGCTGGAAGACAGGCAAACCACTCAACGGCAGAGCAAGCCCTCCATGTTCAAGTCATTGTTACTCCAAGCATTTATTTTTCTTGGTACTATTTATTAACTTTCTAGCCTTCTCTTTCACTATGGAGCTCAGACTAGTATTTTAATCTTGCAACAACCTGTGAGGTAGGTTAGACTGAGACATTAACTTACCCAAGGTCAAACATTGTGTGCTTCGTAGCTATAATAGGATTACAAACTACATGCCATTTTGTGCTAAGTAGTGTTACAGCTGAGCTGCAAGTTCTTTGGTGTGTTTAAAGTGCTAATTTGTAGCCACAAATGTAGCTTGACCTTCAAGGCAGCCATATACAATTAACAGCTATCTAATAAACAGGGCACTCATGCTGATTTACCCTGTCCACTTTTGGCAGAAAGCTCCAACCACATTGTTATTGATCTCTCACAGTGTTATCCTTCCTCCTCCAAAGAGCTCAGATAGGTGTGCATAATTCTCATATCCTCCATTTTATTGTAACAATTCTGTGAGACAGAATGAATGGCAGATATACAGTCCTCTTCCTGCCATCTGACCCAGGTCCTGCAAATTTGGTGTATTCAGGGAACTGAATGCAAATGAGCTGACTGAGAATAAACCTAGAAACAATAATATTGAGATTTAGGGTGGATAAAATATTGGGTAGAATGCATGGGTTATTAATTTCTACCTTTCTGTTGTACCTTTCTTTTCCGCCTAATTCTAAGGAGGCTGTTGATGTTCTGTACTGATGCTTGGAGTCAGTAACAGGCTGGATGAGTGTGAACAAGCTGAAACTTAATTCCGACGAGACAGAGGTTCTCTAGAAAAGCAGACCAGGGAGTTGAGATCTCGCCTGTCTTGAATGGGGTTATACTCCCCTTGAAAAGCCAGGTTCACAGTTTGGGAGTGCTACTTGACACAGCAGTCACCTTAGAAAACCAGGTGGCTATGTTGGCTCAAAGTGTTTTGCCTAGCTTCAGCCAGTACTTTGTTCTTTGGGCCTCTTCTTTGTTCAGTAAAATTTAGCCACAGTGATCCATGCCCTAGTTACACTTAGACTGGACTACTGCAATGCACTTTACTTGGGGCTACGCTTGAAGAGTGTTCAGAAGCTGTAGTGAGTACAGAATGCTGCCGCTAGACTGCTGGTTGGGGCCAGCTATCGTGAGCATGCAACCTTATACTACGGCAATTATACTGGCTACCAATCCACTTCCAAGCCCAATTCAAGGCATTGGTTTTTTTCTTTAAAACCCTACATGGCTTGGGACTGCAGTATCTGAACGACTGTCTTCTCCCATAAATTCCTGTCCAGGAATTAAGATTGCAAGTAGACTGTCCCAAATCAAAGATGCTCATCTGGTGAGCACACATGAGGGACCTTTTCAGTGTCAGCTCCACAATTATGGAACAACCTCCCAAAAAGGTGTGCCTGACCCCCCCCCCACTTACTTTTGATCTTCAGGAGGCAGTTGAAGACTGTTATTTAGGAGTGCATTTGACTAATTTAGTTTTTATTTATTGACAGTCCTAAGTGAGACCTTTATGTGTTTTTTACAATCACTCTTATATTTAAATTGTAAGCTACATTGAGCAGCTAATAAATGTTTTGAATAAATGAATTTTTCATAACAACCCTACAGTGCAAATCATGCTGAGAAATAGTGACTGACCAACAGTCACAAAATGAATTTATTGCCAAGTCCACAAGAAACAGATTTCATGCAGCCACACTGGTATAAATCAAAAGCAAAAACTAAAAGCAATGTAATATCTTTGATTAGGATCAACCACAATACTACAAAACAGAGTGCAAGTAGTTTTGTGTTATTTTGATCGATTCTAGTAAATGGAATTATCTGGCTATTATTTTTAGTTGCATGGTATGGGGGATCTGAAGCATCTCCCTAGTCTTAACTGTATCCACTATACATTGGTGAGGGTCAAGAAGAACCAATAAATATGAAAAGTATCATAAGCTTTTAATCTAATTTCTATTCCACAGAACTCATTACTTAAAAAAACGGTCTGGATGTTTGATTTGAAGGTGCTTCCACTCACGCAAACAGTAGCCTATTCTTTCCAAGGATTTTCCCCCTTGAGCCTCCTGTACCATTCCTTCCTTCTCAGAGGCAGATAATTCAAGGATCACAAGGACTGCAAATGGAGGGAACAGGCAGCAAAGATCCATTCTTAGCTTCCAACCCTATACCTATATCAGAACCCTCTCTTTGAGAGTTTGACCCCAGGTGATGAAAGTTACCACTAATGTAATGGAAATTAAACCACCCCAGCAATGTGTATGGCAAGAGCTTTGGAAAAGGAAGGGGAAAAGGTAGCAAAAAAACACAACATTAAGAATTTTCTACGCTGAAACAGAATGTTTAAAGCATGGCATTTAGTAAATGTACTTAGGCTGTTAGAAATCACAGCATTTATCATTTCAATATGGTAAACTATCTTGTGCTTCAGAACAAAGTTTGAGTTCAGTGGTACCTTTAAGATCAACAGAATTTTATTTATGCACACTTCATCAGATACAATTAAATGGAAGTTACCAGTCCATACATATAGGCAGAGGGTGAGCAGTAAATTAACATAACAGCATAATGAAGATATTTAGCAAATTCAAGGATCAAAGTGGAATAACAAGCTTAGTGTCCTGGGAATGCAAGCAGAGCAGGGCAACCATGCCAGATCACAGTCAAGAGTCCAGTCCAGAGATCAAATACCAGTTCAGCAGCAGGCAAAGTTCATGGGTTGTCCAGAAAAGCAGAGTCAAGTCAGTTTGAGGTCACTGATCAGCAAGGTTCAGGCAGGTCCAAAAAGCAGAGTCAGGGGTCAGTCCAAAGGTCACAGGTTGCAAGGCAGAGTTCGGTGTTGTGGTTGTGAAGTTCACAGGATTGTGACATGTTGCTTCCACACTATGCAGGTCTCCTGATCTGATTTATATAGGTTTCTCCTAACAAGACCTATTTACAGTAATTTTATTTTATTTATATCACGCCCTACCCCGCAAGTGGACTTCTGCTTGGAAGTGCTTACGTAGTTACTCAGAACTGTCATCAGCAAACAGCTAATTAGCTGAGCCAAAAGCCAAGCATGGAGTCTCTGCCTATGCCGTTCAACGGGTGGGGGTGAGTCTGATGAGCTGCTTACAGGCACAGGTTTATTGGCTGCTTCAGAGCTAAGCATGGGTGGCTCAGGGTCAGCTGCCGGCAATGAATGTGGAAGCTCTTGCACTTCTGGCTCATTAACCTCAACTAGTTCAGGGCTGGCTGCATGCAGCTCCCTGACTCTTGAGGAGTCTTCAGCAGGGCTCTAGTCGGGGGGGAGCTCTCAGGTACGGAGCTCCGGAAGAGAACCTCTAGGGGGCGGGGCGGTCACGTGGTGAAGCCCCGCCCCCTTCTTTACCCCGCCCTCTGCTTCGATCCTCATTCCGTTTGGGAATGAGGATGAAGCAGGAGGGTAAGTAGCCGGGCCTTCTGACACACTTCCGGTGATGTCAGGGGGTGTGGCCTTCTGTCACTTCCGGTGATGTCAGGGGGCGTGGCATATGCAAATAAGTTATGCTAATGAGTTATGCTAATGAGCTCCGGCAGCTCTTTTTCTACAACAAGACCCCTGGTCTTCAGCCATGCAAGGCTCAGGCTGACCCACAACACTTAGTTTACATGGTTACTATTTGTTTGGGTTCAATTCTGGGGGAGAACACAGCGAAGGAAATAACTATGTCAAAATGCTCCATCCGTCTCCTCTCAAGCATGGAGGCAGGATGGGTTGCATCAGCAGGAGGGCAGGAAGAGTTGTATCAGTGCTTAGTTCTCATGGCCCTTTCTTATACACCCAGGGAAATGCTGATCACCACTTTGGGGTCAGGCAGCAATTTTTCTCCAGGCCAGTTTGGTCAGGGATTCTGGAGGTTTTTTGCTGGGCATGGAGCAGGGGTCACTGTGTGTGAGTGTGTGGGGGAGATATTTGTGAATTGCCTGCATTGTGCAGGGGGTTGGACTAGATGACCCTGGAGGTACCTTCCAACTATATGATTCTTTTTTGAAGTAGGGTGATCGGCTGTGTAGAGTTATCCCCCTGTCCCCTGACCAGAGAAATAATTCCAGTCTACCATTCCAAATTACATTACATTCTAATATACATTACATTAGACCACTAAAGGGTGATGGTCGGGCAGGGGATACCAGTGCTCCTGGGGAGTGAAAAGTATAAAGGTGGGTCCAGACAGAAATGGAAAGGAAGGGGACAGAGAAGTAGAAGAGCTCGGTCCCTTTCCAGCCTGCGTCCCATTCCGAAGGTAGTAGGTGTTGTGCAATGCCAGGTCCATAAATAGTAAGACTTCCTGCTTGAGCAGGATATGGCCCTGGCGTGCATGACTGAGACCTGGGTGCGAGATGGAGAGACTGTAGCTCTCTCCCAATTGGCTCCCCCTGGGTTCTCAGTCCTCCACCAATCCTGGATTAGGGGGAGGAGAGGCTCTGTTCATCCAGGAGGCTTACACATTCAGGGCACTCCCGCCACCGAGGCTCACGGGCATAGAGTGCACCGGCTTTGTGTGGGAAGCCAGGGAGAGTTTGGCTGTTTGGTTGGTGTACCGTCTGCCCAATGCACTGACAAACAGCCTATCATCCTTGTTGGAGGCCGTATCAGGCTGGGCATTCGAACACCCCAGA